TATCGAACCGAATTGGATGAAATTTGGTGTGATGATTCTATGCACTAAGAAGTTTAATTGGAAAAAGTATGAAGATCGTAGGTATTATTCAAGTGTCTGAAAAAAATTGACAAATAAACTAGCATTTTTGCAATTTTTTAAATGATTTTTCGGATTTTTGCAGCGACAATAATTATTTTTTCGCATTGCAACTAACTCTATCTTGTTCAAAATTTAATTACAAAACTTTTTTTTCTCTTTCATTTTTGTCTAAAACGAATAGTTGCTAAGTTGTCGACGAGAAATCCAAGAAAAAAATGAATTTTTTGCTATTTTTTTATACTTTTTTGCAATAACAATTAAGCCCACGTTTTTTTTTATTTGCATAGAAATATTATCATTTCTGATGTTATTTAGAAGCCGTTAAAGGAAAAATCTCCGATCATATGCGTTTTACCCAACCCGAAACAAGTACCGCCTGGACTAATAGGTAGTATACTTATAGCACTTTATAGCAAATGATAATTTTGAATACTATGTGTATTTCGGTTTATTTAAAAGTCTAGTCTCCCTGCATTGAAAGATTGAAAATACAGATTCGATCTGCGGTTCAATCAAATTTTCAAATCCTCTTATTTATAAAGCATATTGATTCAAGATAGTAAAGGCGTATTAGAAGAATAATTTGTATTAAGTGTGGAATATGATATTTTAATGCTAATATAATACAAATTATCTTAGCAAAACTTTCTTAGCAAAAATTACAGAAAGAAACAAATGCCTACTACCATGTTGTCCAGCTGAAAAGGCCCTTCTGTTTTTGTTAATTACATTAATCCACGAAATAATTTATTTGATTCCATTACTTTTATTTGTTCCTACTTCCAAAACAACATGCACTTTATAGGTGTATAACAAAATCATAAAGTATAGCACGGCATGTTTTATGACAAATTAAATCTTCTTTTTATTAGATATGTAAACATTTAATAAAGTTAAATTTTATAAATCCAAGTTGATAACATGTTTACTTTCGTTTTAGATTTGTTGACATGTCGTCAAGTACTGAATATAATGGTCATATTGGGTTTCATGTTCAATTACATGCTTCGAGTCAACCTCACGATTGCCATAGTAGACATGGTGGTAGACAACGGCAACTCCACATCAGCAAACGTCACAAATTCCACATCCACAGGACACCCTCGCTTCGCCTGGGATACTCAAATAAAAAACGACATTCTAGGTAGCTTTTTCTGGGGTTACATCCTCACAGAACTCCCAGGGGGTCGAATGGCCGAAATCGTAGGAGCCAGAAAAATATTTGGCGGTGGAATGTTAGCTGCAAGTGTACTTACTATCCTGACCCCAGCTTCTTGCCACATACACCACTATGCAGTGATAGGTCTCCGAGCCGTTTTAGGGTTCTTTTTGGGGGCAACATGGCCCGCTATCCTTCCCATGGCAGCTAAATGGATCCCTCCCATGGAGAGGTCTAAATTCATTGCCAATATGATGGCCAGTAGCTTGGGGGCGGCCATAACTCTACCGGTTTGTGGATTTTTAATAAGCTCCCTGGGTTGGCCCAGCGTGTTCTATTTTACGGGAGCAATCGGTCTGATTTGGTCCATTCTTTGGTTCGTGCTAGTGTTTGACTCACCAGCTGAACATCCCAGGATAACAGAGGAAGAACGAACGGAAATAGAGACAAAAATTGCAGATGGGGAAGGGGGCAAAGGCGTTAAGCCGTCTACGGTGCCCTGGGTAAGGATTTTTACTAGTCTGCCTGTGTGGGCCATCGTTATAACACATGGATGTTCCGTTTTTGGATATTTCACCGTTGTAAATCAGCTTCCTACATATATGAAGGATGTACTGCATTTTAACATAAAAAATAATGGGTTGTTGTCTAGTCTACCATATTTAGGTAAGCTTTTTTTAAAAATTACACTTACATTCAAGAATATCTTCAAATGGAACCTTGCATAAAAGAAATTTGTCATAATTTATTTTTTGATTGAAATATATTTTATAACGTATGTAGGCTCCAAACCCTAATTAAAATTAGCCACTTTAAACAAATAGAATTAATAAATAATTTAAATCATTAAAATGAATAGCAAAACATTTTATTTTCATTGGGTCACAAAATGTGATGGGTATTCCTTAAGAAATTATGTTAACTGAATTTAGGGAAATATTCACGACATAATCTATTTATTTTTTTCTGAAGGAAACAGTAAGTGATAACCCAGCAGTCAAAATCTAATATATGACCCTGTCTGTAGAAACCATTAATGATCAACAAAACGTGAAAATATTATGCAAGAAATTGTTCCGATTCCAAAGTCTAATAACCTGCCATAATTCTTATTTATGATTAATAGTGGAATATTTCGATTGCTTTGTTGCTAAGTATCTATCAGAGGCATATCATTCAGTTCCAAGACATTAGGTTATTCAAATTTCGACATTTTTTATTTATATACGTATATAATATAGAAAATTTCCATAATTATTTATGTACATATGTTTATATATAAAGCAACTGTTTGTTATGAAATAAACATTTTAATTGAACATTGTAAAATTGAAATTTATTTGAAATCCATTTGTAGTATTTTCATACATTTTATTTGTTTTATTAAATAGTTATTATAACACTGAATATTTTATCAAAAAATTATAGACAGGTTGAGAAAGATTGTGCATATTTCCTAAATTTCCCCCTTCGTTCTGCTTATTAATTTACTGATTTATATTTTTGAACTAAAAATTCATGTTATTACACCGATATTACTATTTTATCTGTTTATGTCTGTATATATCCACATAAATATTATTCTGCAATATAATTAATATATTGTGAAGGATTTTTGTTATTTTAATTTCCGCCGATTGAGTACACAGTTTTATCTGTAATCCCTTTTATTACAAGTATTAGATAAAAAAAATTAATATAGCTAATTGCGCCACTTACATTAATTGAACAATATTCTAAAAGGGGATTTTTATCTCCCAAAATATTTGTCTTCTTAAATGTTTGTTTTTAATTTCGAATAATTTCAAATATCTGTAACTCGTCACAATTCAAGATACTTGTTTTTCATAATATTCTACTTCATAAACAAATTTCTTATTGTCACAGGAAAATACTTAATGGCTATAATAGCCAGTTGGCTTGCCGATAAGCTGAGGAGATCTGGAAAATTATCCACTACCGTCACAAGGAAAGTCTTCACAACCTTCGCTTTACTAGTCCCCGCCGTACTGATGATCATCCAAGCCATCTGGGGAGAAAACTCGGCCCTTTCCGTCACAGTATTCACGGCATCGTTATTCTTCAACGGTGCCGTCACTGCTGGATACCTCTCGAACGGTTTAGACATAGCTCCCAACTTTTCAGGAACTATCTTCGGCATGGCCAACACTCTGTCTTCCTTAGGAGGGTGGGTGTCCACTCAGATTGTAGCGGTTCTGACAAAGGAAAGCAGCACATTCGACACGTGGAAATTTGTGTTCTGGATCCTCGTGTTTACTTACGCCTTTGGATGTCTGTTCTACTTAATTTTCGGTACAGGAAAATTGCAGACGTTCAATTCCGTGGAGGCCCATCCTAAGGACGACAAAGAACTGCAGCCTTTAAAGAGCAAAGCCGAGTTGGACAAGGAAAAGGAGATCTTAGCGTAATATTTTTTTTTGAGATGTTGCGCAGTTCAACAAGGGGTCCAAGGAGATCTCTGCAGAAAGCTTATATTTCCATTTTGTATATATCTAATTTATATATATTTGTTATAGTATTATTTTTTTAAATAAAATCTGACCCAATGGAAGTAGTTTATTTCAAATTGTATATTAAATATCCTACAGTTTTATTAGATTATTTTCCTTTATAACACTTCAAATATTTTGCGAATAGATAATACTTGAAATAAATATTGCAATTTTAAAAGAAATAATGTAATTTCAGGGCTTACGCTTGCTATGATAAAGTTAGATTAGAAGATAAGCCAAGATTGATATTATAAATATTAATATCACGTGCAATATAATACTTTATCAAACCTGTGATTAAAAAATATATGAGGTTGACGTTCGGAGACAAAGAACTTTGAAAAGATAACTGATTAGTTTTTTACGTATCATTTGTTCTTAAAAAGATTATGAAAAACAAAGTTCGCTTCAATTGTCACAAATTCTAATGCGATTTGGTTTTTAAAAGAATCCAGAGATTCGAATTTTGAATTTTTGTCTAATTCATTTATAGTTCTGTGCAAATTACATATAAGCTGTTTAGAAATAGAGAACTCAAAGAAGGCTTGTATTGCCTTGTAACGGTGAACCAACTAGCATTGAATTGTAGGAGCAATAGGAACAAATGTTTTGAAAATATATACAGGGTGGTCAAATTAAAATTTCCCTCCTGGAAAATATCGAAAATAAGAGGGTTCTATAGCAAATAGGCAACCATCAATACATTTTTAAAGATTTTATTACACAGTCTGTCTAAATATGAATTAATGCACAAATTAACAGACTTTCCTCCATTTTAACGCAGATTTTCCATAAAATGGACTTAGTTTAAAACCCAACTTACTTTTTGGTGTAAAGAAATTTGTAATTTACAACGCCGGTTGTTGTAGCGTAAGTTTTGGTGTCTTGGAAGCTACAGGGGCATAAAATACCCATAAACTCTAAATGGCACCTCTTTATTTTAAAGGTTTTTCAATTCTGGTCACAATGACATAAGACTGTAAATTTTGATTTGGATCACTTAAAGAATAAGACAAAATATTAATGATTGAAAAAATGTTATTTTATTAAATGTTCAAAATTTTTTCCCTTCGCTTCCTTGCAATAATAAAATCTTTGCTAATTATTTCCACTATTTCAGGAATTGTATAAAACCATTTTCATGAATTGGAATTCAATCGACCGTTATAATTTTACGGGATTAAATTACGGGGTAAAAAAGTTGAACTGAATTGATAGAGTATGTTTGTATTGACAGATGAAGGAACAAAATCTAAACAATTTATTTTTATTGAGAAATTGTAGAATGTCGTCAGATAATGCCTGAAATGCTTCGAAATGTTTTTTTGTTTAATTTTTAATTCCGATATTTTCCAGGTGGGAAGTTTTAATTGGAACGCCCTGTATATATTTTTTAAAAAACGTAAAAGCAGCAAATTTCATAATTTAGAAATTTTATTTTACGTACCTCTAGACAAAGAATACTTTGAAATTTGAAACAATTCTTTTAGGAATTCTATTTTTTTATTTGCCTAGAATAGTTAAAAATCTCTGAAGATATTTGATGTAAACTGATGAGATTTGGGCTAATGGTCAACTAATTAAAGGTAGCATTTATCGAGTTGATACACAAAACTGTTGATCAGCAGTGACGGAGACATTGAGAAATCTACCGAATATTTTGCAAATTGGATAAGAGCATTTAGTTTTTTGATGTTTTAAGGAACATTTTCCATTTTTAAGAATGTTCAAATTTAAAACAATTTACATAGAATTATATAAAAAATAGCTGCAATTTTATGTGGTACCATAAATAAAAACTTTTTAGTTACATGATATAACAAAACTGTAATTTTTAAACTGTTTTGCTAATTTTTATTTAAAAATGTTTCCCTCAAGTGGATACATTTTCTGCATGAGTTTTTTATTATATGGTTTTAATAAATGCCAAAATTTTAACACAACAAAAACAATTTCTGTCTAACAAACTTTTTGGAAAACACATTTTTGTCCACTATTTTGTACCCATTAAAATAATGTTAACAACCTGGCTAATATGGATTAAAGAAATATCTAAGTAATCCACTAAGCGTTTTAACTTATGTTCCGAGGGCGAAAAACAAAAATTTTAAAAAATTGCAACTTAAAAATTAAAAGGTTTGCGACGGGAACTATTAGACACATGTTGTACTTGATGTTATCTATTTATGGGATATTTCTCAAGGTTCCTCTCAAAGCTCAAAGAAGTATAACCAGTGGCGTTCGAATCTGAAGGGTTTCAAATACTAAAAAGGAAAATTATTTGACATAAAAACTCGTCTCTCGAGAGTATAGATCAAATAAAGTTTTATATAAACAGTAGCGATTATTTGAATAAAATATAGGTTCAACATTTTTATAACTATGTACCCCTCATTTTTGAAAAATTAAAGCAAAAGAATTACATTTTATCTGCGTACATTATCTGAAAAAAAGCTTAATAGGCAAGAAAGTTTTTATTAGAGATGAAAAGCACAACAAACAACTTTTGTCTGTTACAATTTAAACCAATAATTCCAACACCACTGTATTTTCTTAAAGTTTTGCACGTAGGTAGGGCAGTTACATTGAAGGAGTTACGACGGTTTGTCACAACGTTGCCGTTTCTGTATGGGATATGTAAACAGTAAGATATGTTTATATTTACGTTTATTTATGTAAATTCGCATGAGTCACAAAAACAGAAGTCTCTTTACTCAATAAAATAAATACAATCCGAAAATGGATAGCTAGTACCTAAAATTAACATCACCTAAAAAACAATACAAAATATTAATAATTATCATAAATATATGATATAATAATGACAATATATGACACCATCTAAGATCTACTGGCAGTATGAATGAAAACGTGTGGTTTACCGCGTGACCTTATGTATCTAACTTGGTTTTCATAGTTAAAAGTATTACTAGTCTTAAATGGTAGAGAAAATTAACTAAAAGACTTAAAAATTGCACACAATTAATTCCGTTCAAGGAAATTAAGAAATAACACGAACAGCGAGTGCGATGCTTGCCTAAATCTTTCGGTTTTGCTCATCGACAATTGATCCCAGTACAAAAATATAATTTTGATTCATTTCTTTTTATTATTTCAAAATATCTCATATAATTTATTTTTATATTTTTCAATATCACTTTTTTATGACAAAATAAACAGCTAGACAACCATGAATTACTGGTCGTGTTATTCGAGAAGTCATTACAAAAATTTCGACCGCGCAGAAACCTCTGCCGCAGCGTTTGCTTAAATAAATATGCAATTCTTAATATTGACAAAAATCATATCACAAAAGAATTATCACAAATAAAAATAACATTCAGATTATTACATAAACCAATTTTAGCCATACCTCTCCTGCCAGTTTTGCCAACTCAAAACACCTACCTTAAGAAAATATGGCTAAATGCATCTATCGATATTAAATGATATTAGTCGGTTAGCAGTACAACATTTTGTTACAAAAATGTTACCACTAACTATTCTTTTACATTAATTTGATTAACTACATTAATACATACTGGAGATACAAAAATATGTAGTACATGTTATAGCATAAATAAATATAGTGGATTATTGTGTCAATCGTACTTTTTTTTATATAATCGCCTCTAACAAGTTTGCTTTCTTCGTTAATTATAAATACAATTTAAAAAAGAATTAGACACTTTGAGATCAACAAAGTTAAATCCTGAAAATTATAATCTAGAAATATGTACAGGGCCTTCGGAAAAGATTGTTATAAGCTAAGCAACCAGTATTTCGTCTGGAACGGTAACAAATTAAAAATGACTAAAAGTTACGTTAAAACAACATTGTTGCACTGGCTGGTGACTGTTGTAATTTTTTACATTTTATCCAACCAATGGGCAATCTCAGTACCTCAAGTGTAGACACAATTCTTTGTCTTTATTTAAGATTTAGTGATCTTTAGTTACCAGTACACCGTGCAATGTTGGTTGCATACCCCCGGCAGTCGCGAGGCTTGTAATCATTTAAGAAGACTCCGTATAAATAGGTAACGCAAATACACAAACTACTAGAATAAAATCAGCAATATACATTCATAATTATTACAAGTATTTAAACAAATTAAACACAGAAATATGGTTTACTGTGAAAACTGATTTTTTATGTAGTTTCTCTCAATTCCAGACCGAGTAATTGTTACAAATTGTAAACTTGGCAAAGTTTTATTCTCGCTTTTCTAGAGAATATGGTTTACATCTGAATTACAGAAGTGTTAAATAAATGTGTATTACCCTTTTTTTCTTATTTCGTTAAACATTTCTACTACAAAAAATACGAAAGTACTTCAAAGCTTAATTCCATTTTTACTTTTAAACCAGAATTTTAAAATATCTTTTCTATTTTCTGTAGTAGCTTTTTTTTTAAGGTACCCACGAACAATCTTCCAACGGCAGTGAAAATGCTGGCACTTGACAGTACTCTGTACACATATATATTATTATAATAGATTCTTCATGAAAATCATGCCATATTTATTCAAATGATATTAAAACGAAATAAAATTCCGGTAAATTTTTGTTCATTTGTTTTTCCTACAAAGGGCTTTTTTACGTTATACAATCGGCATTTTATTTTGGTTCAATTAACTTTCGTGGTTAAAATTTCTGTCTCGTTAACCTACTAAAAAAAATATATGTATATTCCGCGGTCGAAATTATAGAGAGTGATTCAGACATAATATAAAAACACTATTACCATAATGCGTATAAAATATAAAATGATTTTTATACGGTTCAATATTATTTATCTTTGTGCCGCTCGCTACGCACATCGATAGAATCTATAATCGTCTAAAGACCGAGTTACACTGAACGTCGATCTATATTCTATCTCTGTCTTTTGCACTTGGTAGGGAATAGGGAAATGCTTTTTTAGTGGGTGTAAACGGACATGATTTAACCCGACCTGAGAAACGTCATAGCATAAGCGTAGACGAGGGGGTCTAATTCCATGGCTATAATAAATTTATAAATTAAAAAAACACAACTGGGACATTTTAAAATGCTGTAATAATTAAAATGGATCAAAGTGCCGGTTATAGCAAACCGTAAAAACATATTAGATGTTATGTTTTATTATTTTTTCAATATTTTCTATATCTTGTTGCCTTTTACGCAGACATGCCAATGGATTTTCGTTCCCGGCACGCTTCATCCCCCTTACTAGTCCAAAAGCTAGCGATGAGTCACTCTCTATAATTTCGTCCGCGGAGTATAGTTGAAAATGAAAATAAATATATTTTTTTATGTAAACCAACTAGTTATTTAGCCGTTATAGGTTCTCCTTGAAGAGTTAGCAGCTGAATATACGCGTTGGTAGTAGTACAGTGGCATTGTAAGGACAGTGGTGTGACAATAATGACACAGCTAGTGTTGCAAAATGCGTGAGAATTTATTTGTGAAGAATTTTCATCAATTACAAACTAGGCCAGTCAGATTATCGAAAATACCTCGTTTTTTTTTGCTAAAATTTAGTTCAGTAAACAGACAAGTAAAAATTAGGAAAAATTCTGTAGAATTGAATGAACTACTTTGCCCTAACTGATTGTTAGGGCTTCATTTTCAAAATGGCGTTCAAATTTCGTAAAATACCGTTTTTTCATTTAAAAAACAAATAATCATTTTAGAAAAAAATGTTTTAGACAAAAGTTGTAGAACTTTTTATAACAAAAATTTTTAGGCCAGCCCAATGTCAAGTGATAAACAAATGTATTAGTTATTGTAAAAAAACGGCTAAAAATCCCATTTTTTTTAAACTTTTATATCTTTAAATTGAAACAAGACTTTTTTACAAAACTTTCAGAATATGCACTCCTTGGCAAGTAAAAAAATGCAAAATATTTGATAGATTTTCCAAAAAAAAGACGCGGCTGTTGTATTTGTCGATCCTATGTATCAACATTCAATTGTTCAAAATTAAGCAGACACACTGAACACTAACTGAAACTACTGTCAAAATCTTTATCCCCCCACCTCGCGCATCAACGTGTCGAGCGGAGCAAGCATTCTACGAGGCCCAACAAAATTAAGTTTATGGTAAAAAACAGGAGGTCAATCATTGAGGACCATTTTTTTTTATTGATGTAAAAGTATTCAACGACATGTTGAATACTTGAATTTTATACTATTTCAGATCTTAATATTAATAAATGAGGCCACAGCGAATTTTTGAAAAAAAAAAAAAAAAATTCTCGGCTCCTGTTGGTCGTAGGACATTTTTTTAAATTCGTGAAAAAATGCCAGCTGTCAAATGGCAATAACGTCATTGCAATTAAATTTCAATGATAAGAAAAAGATCTATATTTTTCGACCCAGAAAAGTTTCGGTAGATTTTTCGCATATTTCCAATTATTTTGCAATACGCACACAATTTGCAACTACAACCCTTAGAGAAAATTCTAAGCCCAAGATGACATAAGTGCATTACTGTATGATTTACTGAAACTTGAAAAAAAAATTATTTTTTCCAAAAATTCAATTTTTGCAAAATATATCAAATATTTTGCAATTTCACAAAAATGCATTTATTCGACTTGCCAAGGACTACATCTTCTGAAAGTTTCATAATAAAACCTTTTTTCATTTTAAAGATATAGAAATTTTAAATAAATGGGATTTTTAGCCGTTTCATTTTGCAATAACTAATACATTTGTTTATCAATTGACATCGGGGTGTCCTCAAAATTTTTTTTATAAAAAGTTTTACAACTTTTGTCTAAAACAATTTTTTTTAATATTTAGCTTTTTTTGTTAATGAAAAAAACTGTTACGAACTTTAGAAGCCTTTTGAAAATGAAGCCCTAACAATATGTTGGAGTAAACATTCAATTCTACGGAATATTTTCTAATTTTTACATGTCTGTTTACTGAACTAAATTTTGGTACGTAAAAATCTAATTTGCTTGGATTAAACAAGAATAAATAAGCATTACCTGCAAATTTATGTTCTACATGATATAATTGTTACAAAATAATATAAATTATAACGAAATGTTATAATTTTTTAAAATTATGAAAATTTTCATTGTTCTTGAACATTTTCATGAGAATGCTGAATATTCTCCGATTTTCTCAAAAATTTTCTTAAGTGCTTCATAAAAAAGTAGTTAAAAAAAAGCACACGTTGAGAACATTTTTGCCTTTCCAACACTGGTCACAGCCATTTTGATTGATACATTTATTTAATAGAGAGTCAGAATTAACATCTGGAATTCAATAGTTTACACATTTTTTTTTATAAAGTATTTTACTTTTGTAAACGATTTTAACATAATTCAATTAAAATCCAAACGCAAACTACTGTCAAATATCAAATCTGATATGTTAAATCTGAATTTGAATCGAACCTCTATCGACGCCACCGTCCTTACATCACACCACTGTAAGTAGTTGCTGATGGAAGATTTATTATACCCTTATCACACGGCATTTTTGGCAATACTTGTCTAAAACGGGTGATAAGAAACTTTATCTGGACACGAATTATACGAAAGGATTTATAATACCTCTCTACATTCTTTTAAAACACAATTATTTGCAGGTGTCACCTTGCTAATACACAGTGCACATAAATTAGAAACGATAATAAACGGATGTGTGTTAATGATAATATATACGGTGTATTGAAAAGAGGGAAAACTTTTTTATTCTCAATTTTGTGAAGTAATTCTCGTTTAAAGATTTTGGGTGTGTTCAAATGTACAAAAATGTAGTTTTAAGTGAGCCACCATATACAGGGTGCCCTGAATTCTGGAATAATTAGAAATGTAATACTTAGTCAATTTTATCCTCAAAACCCAATAATTGTTAATTAATGCATGTATAAATAGTTCATGGCACCGACAGAAAATTTTTGAGCAAAAATTTGATATTTTGGGGAATTAATGTGATTTTATATAAAATGTACGTTAATGTCCCAAATTTGTTGATGATCGGTTTCAATTTTGCAATTTAGTGATTTATCAAAACAAAAAATTTCAAAATAGGCCGATTATCTTCAAAAATTGTTTAATACCACATATGAAAAAACCATTTTACGTACAGAGAAAATTTTTATTTGGTTCTGACAAGGAGTATTTAGTTTTTCAGAAATAAAAATATGCCACAAATTATTTTTCAATCGTTTCCCAAAAAGCTTTAAAAATTTTTATATCTGCCGCCTAACAAAATAAATAGTATATTGTCGAGTTATAAGGATAAAATCTATTAGGTACTGTATTTCGAATCACTTTTTAGAACAAAAGTGAAATATTCTAATGATTTTTCTTCCGTAAAATGAAAAATGGTTTCCCTCTGATCAACTCGTTGGGAACAAAATCATTAGTCTACACACCTCTCTCGATAGGCATAAACATTTCCAAAAATCATGAATGGGGTACGTAATACGGCATCTTGGGAAGATTTATAGGCAACCGAAAAAAGTTGTAAATGTTGTCCCATCCGGTACCGTCGGTTCGGACCCCGCTGACGCGTTAAAAATATAACTCTTAACTCGAAAACCAGTGTTACACGTATCAGTTATATAAATAAATTATTTCCTATAACACACTGTTAATTTTCATATTTGTTGCGAACGTGGCAATTTTATACGCTCTGTCACGCTCTGAAATGTCTTTAAATAATTTGACAACAGTGCAAGGGTGCTCCAGTTAAGCACCATAGATCCATTCTTCGTCATTTTACCACAGATTCATTAACACAGACAAAGTTTTTTTTTTTCTAACACAGAATGCTTTGCGGAGAGCTTGAACTTGTTCTTTTTTTTTATTGTATACAAATGAAGGTTTGGGTTACGTTAGAACATTGCACATTGTTCCCTATGTGAATAATTGGAGTAAGGGGTAGAAGATTTGGTGAGAAAAGGTGCCTTGCTACCAAGCTGACGACATTCAGAAACTTTAATGACGACCAAGTTACTTCCGGTTCCTCCCAGCAGAAACATTCGCCCTTCGACTATCCGGTGATGAACTTATTAACTATTGCGCAATATGGAGAAAACTTAAACGCGTAGGTCCAGACACATGAACTTTCTCTCGTCTCGAACATAACTATTTTAGTCCTTATCACTTGATCTTCTCGGGCCGTTTAGGTCCAGTCGAGGAAACAAAAGTTATTATTTAACGTGAGTCTATAAGAGGTTGTCTGTTTATTTTTGAGAGCCTTTACGGGCATCTCGAGTAGGTCACAATTTTGGATTTTTCAATATTGTCAATCCCAGCCGTTCTCTTTGATCATATGTGCTAGCTCTATGATAAACTTGCCCTCCTTGTATTTCTGGCTGGATTCGAACGCGTGTTCCTGAAAAAACAACAACACGGGATGTTACCAGCTCTGTAGATTTCACACAATAAATGTAACAAATTCTCTTTCTACTCGTCTATACTTATTATTGATTTTTGTTATAAAAAATTTTTAACACCGTCTTGCATGATCGTTAAGCTTCAATGACAGGGTCCGTATGCTCAAAACTTAAAGTATGAACTAATTATGGAAGAAGAATATGCCAAAAATATATAGTGAATGAGCAAAAAATAATTTACCTATGCTATCTTCACGGCACCCATGTGATTTAAATTTGTCAAACTAACCTATTTGTACAGAAAAAGGAAATTGTAATAGAAAATTGAAACAGCAAAAAGTATCTTATCTTATTAAGAATTTCCACATCTTATAAACAGCCTTCATAAATGGTTACAAAAAATTACATTGCAACAAAATTTTGTGTTCTATCGTAACTTTATTGTTTCAATAACTTTATAATTTACTAAAATTAATTGTCAATAAGAGAAACAAAATTACTGGTCACGTGGCTTGTAGTCATTTATGAAGGGTGTGTACTAATCAGTTCATGTTAATGTTAAATGTTTGTCACAATAATTTGATACATCTCTCAGAGTATTTTTTGTTTTTTATGTATTTTTTTTATTATAACTAAAAATTTGTCATATTTTCCAACCCCAAAAAAAATAAAGGGTGATTCACAACTCTACCTACACAGAGCAGGCACATGTATAAAATCTTAAAATGTGTCAATTTGTTATGTAACTTTTTTTCTGGGATGTACCGTTGAAGATGAGTGTTAAATTTTGAAAAGAATGTTTCAGTAATGCCTTAATTGACATAGAGAAACCAAATTATTTATCTTTAATTGGTAAAAATAAGAATTTTTATGAAAGCCCGATGAGGACCGGATTATATCAATTTTTTTTATCAGTATACACTGTATGCACATTATTATTAAGCTTTACCAGTACTATAGGAAATTTTACTTATAATTTTTTTTACTCCTAAGTTTTTCCAAAAAAATTGCGGTTTTTAAGAAAATCGGGATTTTGTGAAACAGCTTCATTACTAATTAAATTGGACAAAAAGTAAAGCGAGGGGTGTGCCACAAGTAATTTTTGGTGTACTTTTGAGATATAATTTAAAACTATTTTAAAAGTATAGAAATCATTTATTAAAGTATAAAAATTACCAAATTCTTTGGTAAATTACAAAAAGTATGTATGAAATTACAACAAGTACGTATTAAATTACAAAAAGTACAAAAAATTACCTGATAGAGTGCAAAGATTTTCAAAATTATTCTTTAAAATTACTGAAAGTACTTAAATAAAATATAAATAAAAATATTTCATTCAGTTTTCATGAAAACATCGTAGAGATACGGACTAACTTCTGTTGCTTTGCCTACATTTACCTACCTAGATACTGTTGAAAAAACAGTCTAGTTTGTTCATAGTGAAAATTTGTGTGGTAAAATAACAATAAAAATAAAAATCTTACTAATAAAACAAATTGTGTTTCTAAATTCGTAACGGAAGGAACCAAACAAAAATATTGCAAAATTTTACGATAAAGAGTAGTTTATTGGGAAAATAATAAAGTATGACGGTACAGAAATTATAAAAAATAAAGTAAACATTTATTTTAAATTGAATATTATATAAAAATAGCCTGAAAACCAAATAAAAGTAGCTTTTCTAATTAAAAAAAAATAGAAATAACAAATTAGAACTGAAATTAATACCAACAATGAAGCAAGTCCTATTTAATTTATAAACCTTTAAGTAATACATATTTTTCTAATCTCTTTAAAAATTCCTTGTCCATTTTCTGCTTAAGTAAGCTTTAGGTATGCCCTAAGAAATAATCTAATGGGGACAAGTTGGGTGACTGTGAAAGCCAAGATATTGGTCCATACCGTGCAGGGCATTCGTTGTGTTGAAATATTAGTTTTCTTCTGCATTCAAATTTTCGCTATCTAGTTCTGCCAAAACAAAATTATTGAGAATTTCCAAATACGAATTTCGATGAAGATTTTCTTCCAAAAAATAAGAACCAATTATTTTATGATATGTTATGCCGCACCAGACATTTATTTTTTTTGAACATTTTTAGCCCAGTATCTACAATTTTGAGAGGAAACCACGCCATTAGTTGTGAATGTTGATTCGTCAGTAAGTAGTAACATATTGTGATGAAAGAATATGTTTTCAATTTCTCGCCCATTGTTAAAAAAAAGTCCAAACAACGACTGTCATTTCCATCAAGCTATTTACAATTAAACACTAGTTTAAATTGATATTTTATAACATTCTAAAATTTTTTGAATATAAGATCAACTAATATTTATGTTTTTTGACGTTTTCCTGAATTTTCTTGTATAGAGTTTACAACTACAACAGTAGCAACATCGTTATCATTGTATTCTTTTTTTATCTTTTCAATGTTCTTTACATCACCAGTGGTATCGAATTTTATAATTAGCTTTCGATCTGCTCTACGAGTTACAGTTACATTTGGATATTTTTCATCAAAAATTTTTATTACATATCGATATGAAACATAACCGATTCCATAACACCATAAGATAGATTCGTTGCACCAGGATTAGCATTATTAATAAAAATTATTCTGGGCAGTTAATAAAAATAAATATGTTGATTTTGACATTAATAAGGAAATAGTTAAATAAATATCCATAGTAATTATATGCTATGTAGGATACTTAAAAATTGTGACGTCTTTTTAGTTGCAAAATGTGATTATCCTTCTTTTTTACTAAATCCCACATTTAAGTATTTCTTGAGTTCTCGAACAACTTTGTTAAATACAGTTTTTAATGAAAACAAAAATTACAGGCACTTTGCGTAGGGGAAATTTCATTGTTTCCTTTTTTGTTTTGTTTGTTTTTTGAAATTGTTTTTGTGTTTAATGTTTTTATATTTACAATTATTTTTTTTTATATGTAATAATAGTGTACAGTTTTACTGTATCATTATATTGACTATTGCTATACATACATGTATTAATGTCTATATGCAAAATAAATAAACTAAACTAAACTAAACTAAACTAAACATTTTGAAATATTTTGGATGGCTGGTATGTTTTATTACAAATTTGATTACTGTCCATGGCTTCCCAAGATAAGCAAAACTTTTTATTGAGAATAACTTTTTCTCAAAATATCAACAATAAAAAAGTTTACAAGAGTGCGGTACCCCATTCGGGAATACACTGTAAATATAGGTATATAATATTGTGTGAAACTCACCACTCTGTGGATTAATACATCAACCAACGTGGAATTACACTCACAATGTTTTACCTACATATTTATTAATTATTAGCTTTTGTAGTTTTTTTACTTTATTGTAATGTTATTTTAGCAAATTCAAATAAATTTTCGTACAATTACTTCCAACTAATAAAATTATCTATCTAATATTTTCACCTTTTTAAAGAAGTATGCAAATAAGTGCAGTTACTTGTAAAACAAATGTTTCCTTTTCGAAAATAATTAGGTTATGAAATTACATACATTATTAAAAATTATAACAGAATTACAAAAATTATTTGAAGAATTCTATTAATTCTTATATAAGTATGTGAAAAAGTCTACAAATTTACGAAATTATATAGAAAAAATATAAAAATTACTGATAAGTAGCGAGGTAATTTTAAGTAATTTAAGTAGGTGTACGTTTTACTGCTGAGTGGTACACCCCTCGAAGTAAAGTATGTAGTTTTACGACTAGTAGGTTATGATTTCATGTGTTATTTTTCATCATGTGCCAAATTTCGTTGGTCTATATTAAGGCATTTTTAAAACATTATTTTTTTGCAAAATTTAATCTTCAGAGGCCAATATCTCTTCAATGGTACATCTCAGAAAAAAATATTACATAACAAATCTGCATATTTTAAGATCCTCTACACGTGCTTGCTTTGTGTCGGTAGAGTTATGAAACACCCTGTATAATAAAATTGTATTTATCTTTATAGCGAAAGTAAACGCGAAAATAAGTAGAAGGAACTCTTATTATGTACTAATTGTGCACATCATTGTTTCATCAGAAACCGAAAAAAGTCAATGGCCTTTACAAATTTACTTTGATGCGGCTTGAACTCATGCCTCTGGTTGAGTTGTCTACACCTTTTTGGTGCTGAAATATGCGCTATTTTAAATTCAAAATCCATTCAAATTACTAAACTCGTTCGAGGATATTTTGAAAAATAAAAATTAAAAAAAAAATTAGAAAACCTAAAACGTTTTATAATCATAATTGAAGAAGGAAATTGTTCACGTTAAGTAATAGAAATTATTTGACTTATTTTTGGATAAGGAAAATTCCAACAAGCGATGGCGCATATGTTTTTTGATACCTACACCTTGTCTAAAGAAACAATTATTACAATACACATCTATCTATTTACAAAACGGGAGCTTAATGAACTGCCTCACAATCTCGAGCTATGTGATAAAATATTCTGTTTAATTTATGACAAATGTAAATATACTCACATATTTCCAACCTAAGGTGGTTTTACAACATTCGCAATAAATATCGGCAACGGCGTGAAGACCTGTTAATAGAACTCGCTCTTCCGCGGGTCCGCAACCCACATTTACTCTGTAAAAAAAAATTATAATAATAAATACTCGAGCGCGTTTATTAACCATTATGCATATTTTTTAATAGCTTTGCCCGACTGTTTCAATTTACGCGCCACTACTGACTGACAAATTCAAATGTAAGGGAGCAACATGCCATTTACCTATCTATCTACTAATAATACTTACACTGAATTGAACAAATAAGCTCGACCTTGGCTGCCTTGGAATGACTAAAAAAAGAAAAGAAAATTAATATAGTGTAGCGATAGTGGCATACAGTACATACATACATTTATACATTTATATTTATACATTTATTTACTAATTTATTTCAGTGTTTCTAGAATACCTACATATACATATTATGTTCTATTTCTTTATTTCAAGTTGTAGGAAGCTTAGATGTTCTAGGTATATTGTTTTTAGAAACCTCGAAATTTTGAAAAACAACGAAATAACGGCCACGCCAATGCGTTTCATTTTGTTATTGTGCAGCGTCAAAGTTGTCAAAGAAGAAATATTAATATTTATTATTTTTTTCAATTATTACAGTATCTACCCACTAAAAAATAATAACACAGTCATTAAATTGATCAATCAATTACAAATGTTAAAACCAAGAAAAACTATAAACAGTAAATATATATATAAAACGTTTGTGTAATCAGAATGTTCCGCATAAAGAGTTTTTATAGCACTCATAGATATAACGTCCCTGTAGCGCAGCGGATAGCGCGTTGGACTTCTAATCCAAAGGTCGTGGGTTCGATCCCCACCAGGGATGATAGTGGGCAAACTTTTTTTTTTACAAAATTATAATTTCAATTCAATGTAGTGGTTATTTAACAACAAAATATCTTAAACAATGCACTAAAAATGTTTTGACTTCATTATTGGGCAAATGTGACTACTCAATGGAATTTAGGTTAATTTATTTAAAATTAAGTTTTTTTCTTAATATAAAAAATTTAACAATTTTGGGGAAAGTTAAGAATAAAGTAATAATAATTTATTACTTGGATTTAATGCACACTGGAAATTTTGCCTACTATAAAACTTTTTTTAATACAAATTAGTAGGTTTTCGAGAAGAATACTTAATTTATTTACTAATATTGCAGATTTCAAAATGAAATGGCCTTCATTAAAATTTATTTTATAGGAATCAATTGCATATTTCACATCATTATCGATTTAGTTGTTTAGTTTCTTACTCTCCGTGAATTCACAATATTCTCGCAATAGCAGCCATAATGAAGTGAAATACATATTGGCACATCAATAAAGAGTGATTACTATTACACTAAGGTTATTATTAACCGTAACAAGACTAACAAGTAGGCATTGGATTGGCACAGTCTCGGGATTCATGTCGAGCTTAATCAAATGGACTGAATTTTATGTTATTTGCTGTTACTAGCGTCAGATTTCAATAGGTACAGTTACGTTTACAGCTCAGGTCTAATTGTAAGTGACAGATAAAAGAGTTTTTCGAAAATAAAATAAATCAATTTGCGTTAAAAAGTTTATAATAAAGTAATAGTTAGGTAGGTATGTATCTATTTGCAAATTAAATAAAAATAACGCATACAATAATTATGGTTAGAAATTATGTAAGTTTCTAGTTATCGAGATTTTTTACATTTGGTTTTAATTGCTGCTTTAGGTGTACTTTTACAAGTATGATTTGGGACGAAAAAATCGCCTAATTTGTGACAAATCGCCGAATCTGACAATGATGGTTTTCCTCCCATTCCTTTCAATTATCGAAGATAATTGAATTTATAGCATGTTATCTAAACAATCAATGTACAAATCGCTAACCTTGACTATTAACAAACTCGTTTAATATTGTTTTTATTGTCGCTGACAGTTGTGCTACCCCATCACCTTACCAACAGATTTTTAGCGATTTCCCTAATTTTTAGCTTAGTGATATTGTATACATACATGGGTAAAATAAAATTAAACTAAGGAAAAAAGAAAGGTTTAAATTAACTAATTCCTTCACGTAATTCAAAAGGCAGGTAAAAAATAGCTAGCTTAAACAAATTGGCTTTGTTCAAAAGTTAAATATGAACCGTATACCATAGTGCACACGACTGTATTAAATTGCCAACATTAGGTAGCGCAGGTCAACTTTATTCGTAAAGACAGCTGACGAGTTCAACGCACCCAATTTAACTAATGTACCAACACTCAAAATACATGGATGCGATAAAGGTTCTTCACGCAACACTGCTTTGTCCTGAGAATGTGATATGCCTATGTAGTGGAAATTACGTATCTTTCGATGGGATCCTTATGCCGAAGAATGTCGAGAAAAAGACAAATAAAATCTGGTAACAAACTGCTATATCTTGTCTGTTAAAATTATTGGTGGCGACTGGCGACACATCTCAGATTCTTGCAAAAGATATAGGTACGTATGTTCTATTGGTTAATTGTTACAGGACATTGTAGTGATAAGTGTAAGTGAATTATAAATAATGTAGAGAAAAAATTCGTACCAACCTTGGAAATGAGTTCGTCGTGGTTGGCGAGGTGCGCCCGGCAGTGTATGCACGAGTAGGTGCGGTGACATTGTGGTAGATAGGCCTGGAACGTCTTCACCATGGTGACTTGGCTGCTGCTGTTCGCGCTGCTTGGGCTGGCTGCGACGGCAGGCCATGCGGACCTGTCACACCTACAAAAAAAATCCGGATGTATTCCCATCAAATAAAACTTATTTTGTAAACTTTGTTTCAGTGTGTCCAGTCCAGTCGGCAATGCTCTGAACTGTTTCCATATCTTTCTGACATCTGCCATTATGACATTTTAAAAAATAATATGCACGTCTTTGCATATTTAGATTTTGTGTTTTTTTTTTTTTGTAATCTTCGTTTACTACCTTAGCATTTTTTCACTTTAAGACTAGTTCTGGTGCAAAATGAGGTGTCAACAATTTATTGATATAATACATTATTGCATTATTTTCAATAAAATTGAATTTTTCTTCCAGGACTAAGCTTCAAATGAAAAGATACTAACAGACATCTTATGTCGGGTAATCAACGAGGATTACAAGATATATTCACAAAACTAGAAACGGCAGTGGCGTGTATACTATTTTTTAAAGTAACTGGATATTATCGTCTACACGTACGCCTCTGGTGAGGCGATGAAACTGTATTTTACACATATCATTATCGGGAAAAAAATAATGTTTAACTTAACGGCCTTTTTTGGACATATGTTAATATTACATAATTTTTTTTCATAAAAATAATGCGAATAATAACCCTGTGAAGATTTCGGCTTACTTAGGATACCCTGTATAAAGGCATATACAAAAATAAGTGCTTTTTGTGTATGTAATAAACGTTATGCGTAGCAAGTCAACAAACAGAAACATTTTCGGATTTATTTTATTTTATCTACTAATAATGTATTATTTGCACATATCTGTGACTGAGACTATACCAAAATTACATTGCGCGCAATATATAAGTAATACATTTCTAATTGTTATCTTATCTCTTTGTGTATCAATTTTTTTAGGATACATCAGGCATAAACAAAATATATAGCGTGTTAACCGTTAGGTTTTACGTATTAACCTTGAAGTAAGTCGAATATAAAATACTATCTGCCACAAAGCACTAATATTTGCATATTCTTTTCAGTGGACGAGGCAGAGCATACAGGGTGTTGCGTATCGTTACGTCCAAATTTTGAAAGCATAATTATAGTAGACTTAGTTTTAAGACAAAAAATGTAAAAAAATGCAAAAATGCAAAAACACCCTCACGAGGGACTTAGGACTTAGCAAAAGACTTGTGAAATAAGATAAATTTGTATTTGGTTTAAGAATTTAAATCTGTTTTACTATATATATATAATTTCATATGCTTACAACTTGGGAACATATAAAGACCGACTTTATAAGTTTGTATTTTTTGAATCTTAAAGTACAAAATAATAGAGATATTACTGATATTTCTACTGAATTATACCAATAATTGCAAATAATACCTATAATACCTATAATATCAAGTGGGTAGGCATGAGAGAAGTTAATTTTTAATTTTTATTATTTATTTCTGGGTTTTTGCAAAAAGAAAATACATATTGCAAAACGTTGGTATTTTAAACAAAATTATAAACTGCAAAAATATTTTTCTTCACCCCTTTTCCCTCTTAACTACGCCCATGTTTATAATCAATATAGGGTCAAATTTAAAAAGTATTAATTCCATAAAATTTAATTCATATGAATTTAAATGTTTTATAGCCATTATACTATCTTTATACAGGATGTTTCGGTTTATGTTTCGATTATTCATGGGATTTTTTAGTGTTGATATTTGAAAAAACATATTTTATTAAATTTTTCCGATTGTGATGAAATTATATTTAACGATTTGTCCGATTAAAAATAAACATTTACTAAATTTGATTATAAAGTCACTGCTTGTAACTCACTGTGGAGATTCTAAAAAAATCCTATTTTATTCTAAAAACGAACCATTTTTGACTTATTTTTGCTTTTTTAACTTATATTAAGTCAGCTACAAAGCACCGGAGATTTTCCCCGAACTTTTTTCCGGACTTTTACCCCAAACTCTTTCCCCGGACTTTTTCCCCGGAGTATTGCATGAAACAGCTGGTACACATTTGTTTATGCTCAAAACTCGACTGTCTTAACAGCTAATAACATTTTGTTCCTTTTTATTACAGTATTTTTTTTATAATCAAAGGTCCACTTCCAAAGCTTCAGTGCGTTTAATTCCCGACAATTAGGGAGCGTGTTAAACTGAAAATAGGGAGTAATATTCTAGCATATTCGTATAATAATTTAATGTAGCTAGGTATTTATAATTTATATAATTGAAAATTAATATTTTGATACAAAGAAAAGTAAATTTCAAAAAACGAAATTCTATGGTTTTGATGTATTAATTAAAAAGCCATTTAAGACACAGTGGGGAAACAAAACATTTGTAGACAGCATAGTTAACACCTGAATACACTGCTGCTGTTTATCGTTAGTAGATTACAATAAGCAGATTTATTCCTACAAGTATACTGAAGTACAAACAACTATGGTTGATCACTGACACTGATCACATAGATATTTTTGTCTTTAATCACGAATATATACATAGTTGTAGGCACACATTTGGTCGGGCTACTATATATGGAGGCACCGCTTTTAATACTTTTTAATCCTAATCCTTAAAAATTAATACATACTAAATTCCCTCAATTATTTTCGTGAAAAATATAATCTACTTGAGTCAACTAATTTTATCGGTTACGTTAACTGTTGTTGCCTGCGTATATCCCTGTTCAATGTTAGATTTGCCTCAATTTTGAAATACGATTTATCAACTAATTTTTCATGAGCAATCCAATTGGTTAAAAAAAATTGAGCTTCGCATTGCAAAGATATAGGTAGCAACTCGTTATATTTTTCTATATATATTTTACATATTAAAAAATTACTGTTAATAAAAGACATATATTTTAAACCTTATACGTATATGTGTATTCCTGAGAATGCGTTGTATCAGAATATGTTAAAATATACAGAGTGTTCTATAAGAAACTTAATGAATACATTTCATTTTTCCATATTTTCAAAGACGACGAGGTTGTACTCAATTCAAACATTTTCTACTGTACATAACAGCAGAAAAACATACAAAAATATCTTAAAAAGCGTAAACAGCGACCCGAATAGTTGGTAAAGCAAATAATTAAAGATAATTAGCATACTCCTTTACACAAACATCCACTAAACATACAACTGATTTGTATTTACCGAAAGAATCTCAGCATTCTTCTGAAAATATCCATCCCGCAGTTATTAATACCTGCACTTCTCTGTACACTGCGAACTGTAAATACTGAGACTATTAATACACGTTTATTTTTATTGACGTGCTAAAAATCCGAAATTTGTACCGTTTTATCAAGACGAATACACAGGATGCACTACGCACATTTAATAATTATAAGGGCCAGTTGACAGACCTGGTACTGATACAATGGTAGGGGGTAACCCACCCCCTACTGAAGGAGGGCCACTTTTAAGGGCTAATGATAAGATAAAACTGGTAAACCTGGCAGGTAACAAGTTTCTATAGGTCTATAGTTTGGAAGTTAGAGGGATTTTCTTGTTCTATCATTGTCTCACTAAAGTGCGAATTCTTGTCTACGAAACGCCAGTCTTAACGCATAATGAAGTTAAAGCAACCTGAAACCTCGCGCACGATAAATTTAGCAAATTTTCAATCTGGCAGGGGGTCGAATGCATGTTTCGCGTCAAAATAAAAAAGAACAGTATCTAAATAGCCGACTGAATGAGTCCAGAAACCGTGTTAACTAGTCCGTCTCTATTTCTGTACGCGGACAGTAATTTTCAACGCATTAGTTGGCGGAAATTTTTTAATCATCCAAAATTGAAACTGGCGAACTGTGATTACAGGGTTAAATGGGAAAAATACATCGCAACGCTATTCCAGTTTAACTGAATGCAGAAAAAACTTAGGTTTTATGTACTTTAAGAACTGTATAGTAAAAAAACTTGAAAATCACTTAAAAATTTAGGATTTTTTTAATTCTAATTTTTGTGGCTAGTTTTTTACACGAAATGCGCAGTTAAAAGAAAAAAAGCAACGTTATACAGTGTGTTCCGAAATTAATGCAACAAAAGTTTCTAAATTCAATGGCTTTCTAGCAAACTAATAATTTTTAAGAAATCCAATTATGCGACCAAATTTTTTTGGCTCCAAAGACAAGGGGGCCCACGAAAAAGGGTCTTAAGGGGGTTCCCCGTCAAAAAACGTTGCACCATCAGATTCCACATGTCATAAAACCCCTGTGTACCAAATTTAGAGATTCTCGTACAACAGGGTTCTGAGATATAAAAACAGACTATTCTTAGGGGCTGTATCTCCGAAAGAGGGGGCCATTTGGCAAAAATAAAAAATACGGGTCTTCTAAAGTCTTAACAATCTACGACCAAATTTTGTTGCATTAATTTCGGGACACCAGGTATACCTAAGGATGAGGAAACTACTTGTGACATACGCTTTTCGAAAGGTGGAGAAAATCGTTTGTAACAGCAAAAAACAGAGAATTAATAGAATTGCACGCCGATTGTGACGAAACGCGCGCAACTAATTAAATCCATATAAATAAAATTAATGTCCTATGTAGGTAACTCGTGCAGAAACGTTTGTCTGCTCGACCTACTTTATTACTTAAAACCGCCATACTCAGAGTTATGTCATAGCTTTGTTGCTAATTATATGTAACTATTTTCCAGGTTTCTTCATCCGAACGGCCAGTTGCCAATTTTAACAAAATCGAAGAACCTTACGATATTCGAATTATCGGAAAAAAAACTTAAGTCAGTGGTCTCGTTTGCTCTTTCTTTTCGTTTATGACACTTAACGATTATGAAACAATTTTATAACAGAAACTGTAGAAGGAACTATAAAGTATGAAAACAGCAGTACAATTGGTTCAGATGTTTTTATTATCCATAAGCGGACAGCAGCATTAAGTAACCATGTACTTTTTCACGAAAATGTCTTAATTTTACGAATTGAAAGCGTATACATATTATATACGTTTAAGAATATTTAGATTTTTTTAAATTTATTTATTGTGTAAATAAACCAAAAACTTCCAAAT